GAGATCGTGCACACGACGGTCCTCGAGCGCGCGGAGCTTTTCGCGCTCGGGCTGCGCGACGCGCGGCGCCGCGTCCCCCCAGCATCTATCGCGAATCGGCAGCTCGAGCGACCACCCGACTCTCGACCGCGAACGGGGCGTTCTCGGCCAACTCGAACGAACACGACGCGCAGGTCGGCGCGAAGGCGCGCCACGACGCCGTCGTCGCCAAGGTCGTCAACTCGCTGACGCCGCCGCCGCCGCCGCCGCCATAGCGCCGCCAGAGTAGACAAAGAAATTAGGCCCCCTGCTTGGCGCGCTTCCGCGCCAGGAACCGCTCCTTCGCGGAGAGCGCGGCGGCCGCAGAGTCGACCGCGGCCGCGGGCTCGGGCTCGGGCTTGGGCCGCTTCGCGCCGAGGTGCTTCTCGTCGACGTCCGCGTTGTTCGCCAGCCGCTCGGCGACGTCCGCGTAGCCGCGCGCGGCGCAAAAGGCCGCGCGCGCGCGCGCCGCCGCCTGGGCCTCGTCGTCCTTGGAGATGTCGTCGAAGGTCGACAGCGCCCGGGCGGCGTTGGCCTCGTCGTCGTCGCCCGCGGCCGGCGCCGGCGCCGGCGCCGGCTCCTCCTTGACGGGCTCCATGCGCGCGTTCCGCTTGGACCCGTGCGTGTACGACGACACGGCGGCCTTGTCGACGTCCGCGCCCATGCCGATGTTCTTCGTGAGCAGGTTCGCGTAGAAGCCGTGCATGCCGGCGCTCGAGGCGCTCGTCTGCTCCTCGAGCTCCGCGGCGCGCGCGTCCTCCGCGTCCCACTTGCGCGACTCCTGGAGCTGCTGCTTGTACGCCGCGGTCACGTAGCGCTCCGTGTCGCCGAACTTGGCCTTCTCCTCCTCCTGCTCCTTGAGGAGCTGGCGCTCGTAGACGCGGTCGAACTCGCGCTCGCGGACCTTGGCGGCCTGCTTGAGCGTGCCGATGTAGCGCGACGTCTTCCGGCCGCCGTCGCCGCCGGCCGCGGCGCCGACGCGCGCGGAGATCTTGGCGGACTCGTCGGCCTTCATCTGGTCGTAGACGCCGTCGTAGTCGTAGATCGACGGGTCGACGTCGGCGGCGGCGGCGGCGGCCTTCTTCCTCGACGACGCCTCCATGGCCTGGAGCCTCCGGTTCATGGCCCCGCGCGCGTCCGCGGGCGCGTCGTCGTCGGCGCCGCCGCCGAAGATGGCGGGCACGGAATTCGAGCCCTGCTTCTTCACGAGGCCGAAGCGCTTCCCGCCCCCGGCCTTGGACGCCTTCTTCGACCACATGGAGGCCATGGTCGATGGGGGGCGGTTCCCGGGCGACCGGCGCGGCGCGGCGCGGCGCGGAGACGCGGCTCCCGGGCGTCGAGGCGCTCGGCGTGGAGGCGCTCGGCGGTCGACCGGTGCGGCGCGGTTGGAGGCGCGCGACGACGCGCTCGGTGTGGAGGTCGGTCGTCCACTGGAGGATGAGCTCGAGGCGCCCGCCCGGCGGTCCGCGGATCCGAGCCGCGGCCGCGTCGTCGCCCGACTGACGCCCGGGGCCCTCGGGACGGCGTCGCCGTCGCGCGGTCGGACGTGTCGACTCGCCATCACGGCGGCAGCAGCGCTCTCAAGCACCCACAACAAAAAAAACACCCGCTCGTTACTCCTCCGGGGCGGCCGGCGCGATGAGGGTCTCGTAGGTCGTCCGCCGGTGCTTCTTCAGGTAGGGCATGAAGGGCGTGCCGCCCGTGCCCTTGATGTCGTCGTCGGGGCGGCTGTCCCACTGGCGCACGTAGGTGTAGGCCAGCTCGAAGTGGAGCTTGCGGAAGACGACGAGCGCGGCGACGGCGTCGTCGTACGCGGCGACGAGCGCGCCGTCGCCGGCGGCGACGACGGCGTCGCGCAGCCGCGGGCCGGCCTCGAGGTGGCGCACGAAGGCCGCGTGCTCCGCGGGCATGTAGTCGCGCATGGCCAGCAGGTAGGGCAGCAGGTCGTCCTCGGACATGCCGATGCCGAGCGCGGCGTCGAGCGCGGGCACGAGCGACGACTGCGCGCCCGTCTCGCCGAAGAAC